ATGATAATTCTTTTCAGGATGACTCATCAATGCTTTGGGAACAAAGAAAAGCTGCTGTTAGGACAAATGAGTCTGAGGGCTTCAATATTTCCATTAATTCCAACAAAATGGCCTTTGGGTGAGACCTTAAACCAAGGCTGTGTCCATCTGTCCAAAGTCCATGATGTCTCGTAGACGTTATAAGGCTCTATAACAAATTCAAGGATTATTATTGTAGGGATTACTATCTGTTCAAGTGTCCTGGACAACAATCCTCCAGGTAAATTGATCATTCACAACATAGTTAGTTGTACAGCCTTGATATCTGTAAATTGGTTGCTGCATCTGTCCACTACACTTGGCAGCAAATTGCTGTAAAATGCTTTGAGACCATATAAGCATATCAAGGATTATAATTATTATTCAACACCAGTACAAGCATACTATTTATTAATACGTTAGAAAGTCTGTAGGCTAAAAACACTACAAAGAAACACACGACACAGAGGCATTACAGCCTGGGTATTAGATGGGCCTGTATTGGTGTCAATGAAGTTGAGAGGGTCAAGATCCCCAGAGAATTTGCACTCCCTTTTGTGAACTGTAGTGGATGCATTGGCCTGTACAACACTGAGCGAGAACAGATTTGCCTGTGGTGGCATTTCAATATTGCACGTCACTTTGCATCAATCACCACTGGGTCAGAAGGTTCAAGCACTACATCAGGACTTTGAACTCACGGTATAGGCTGAAGCACCACGGCAATACCTGAGGCTAATGCATTGTCACAGATGTCATCTTTTGGATGAAATTCAAGACTGATCTCCACCTTCCTGTTCAGGTGGAGGTTAAAAATCCTATTACATTCTTTGCGGTGGGGGAAAAAAAGAGTTCCTCTTCATGACCAGGCCAACAATCCTCCAGATTAATTGGTCATTCACCTCACGGTGTAAATGGCTGCCGCATTCACTTACACTACCAGTCACTAAGTTTGAAAGTAATTGCTCGTGAAATGCTTCATGCTGTTTCAATGTGGTAAGGCGCTATCAAAATTCAGATTCCGTCTTTGCATGAGGAATACAGTACAATTTACATTTATATAGTGCCTTTCAGGTCAGTACGACATCTCAGGGCACTTAAATTACCACTTGGGTCAGAAATGGATAGTCACGTCTGGTCATTTCATTCATCCTGGTATGAATTACTATGTCAGAGAAATTGGGGAGAATTTGTAGAGGAAAAATAATGCAATATCCTCTCAAGGGATTATTATTAAACCAGTCCTAGCCCAAGATTATTACTCTTTACTCTGTGCTATGCTGACACCTGCTGGCTCACATCTCACATTGCCTTAAACCCCTTGGTGACAGACATTGCTATCACCATTTTCCCCAGACTGCTTTCCTGACTTTCACCAATAGCACGTATCGAGTCAGGTTTGTCCTATTAGCAGAGTTTATGGGCTGCTTATTAGATGCTGTTGATTAATATACAGAACATCACACGCAGCTTGTTTTTCTATCTTGGGATGTTTTATGACTCTCTTAATCAGGAAGAAAACATCTGCAAGGGGTAGTAATACTTGAATATGCCTTATCAAGTCAATGTGTTCCAAAGCAAGCCACACAATAAATTTTATTGAAGTGTAATAACAGTTAGTGTAGGCAACTGCAGCAGCTCATGTGTGCCAGCAAAATACTTAACACAATGAGCTGAAGGACCTATTAAACTGGGAGAGAATTTGGACGTGGAATGAATATTGGCCAGGATGCTTGAGAGAAACTCCCTCCTGGTCTTCGAATGAAAGATGTGGAACCTTTGAACCGTCACCTGAATCACCAGAGCAGGAAATCTGATCTGAAAGATGGCATTTGCCAGACTACAATCTAGAGTTTATGCAGATCTACAGCAAGAATTCAAGCAGAATTTCACAATAAAATGCTACTTATCAAGATTTAATAAAAATAATCCTGCATTTGATATAGCGACTTATCACGTCTTCGAGACGTCTCAAAGCGTTTCACAGACTATACTGTGTGAAAAGTAAATTGACTGTTTTGAGGGCGAAATGAGGCAGCCAATTGCGCACAGCAGTATCACACACATAGTCGTGAATTGAGTGACCGAATTATTATTATTAAGATATCTCGCAACAGGATAATATGCAGAGCACAATAATACGATAACCATATTGTACAAAAAAAGCTTTCAAACCTATGAACACAATAGGGAATCTGATTCTCTAAAAATTCATCTGTGCGGTCAGACTTGACTTCCCATTGTAATAATGTCCCTACGATGCTAACTGTTCCATACAGAGAAAAATGGCAAAAGTTAACATCCAAAGTTAGCATTCACCATAGTGACAGTGAGTGTGCTAAGGATTTAATGATTCTTGTTTGCAGTCGTTCACCAGTGATCTAATGCACAATGCATTTCTCACCTTATTCTTTATCTGTCAAGTGCTTCGCCCACAAAATACAGTCAATTCACGTTACGGCATATTCGGTGAAGCGCTTTGAGACGCCTCAAAGATGTGATAAGGCGCTGTATCAAATGCAAGGATAATTATTATTATTATTGTAAGTGTGAGACTTCAAATTCTATGAATGCTGCTGGAACTGGCTAAATGCAAAAGTCATGTCATTAAAAACTACAGTCCACACAAAACGGTGTCAACATCAGCACTATCTGAAATCAGACTCTGAGTTTTGTGAACAGGTTCTCTGTAGTTAATCTTCTTTTCAATGTCATGAATAATCCTACTAAAATTGCACAGCGAGAAGTCAAACACAACATGAAGTCCTTTCCACTGCACAATTGTCTCTGCTATAAAACAAAACATGCATTCATTGCATGTGCCCACTGGTGGGATTGAAGCAACTGACGCAGCATAAATTAGCAACACCAGCCCATGATAAGCTTCCAACCACTCGTACAGTTAGAACCACTGTATTCAATGGAACATTGACTTCAAAAGTTATCAGGAGGAATCCCATTCCCTAGCACACACAGTGATACAGCTCCATCTCCAACACATTAATGGCAAACATCAACAAGGCTCTGGAAGCAATAGTTGTTCCAAGCAATTACCACACTTCTGCCTCCCTATGGGATCTTTGAAGTAGCAAGTCAAAGAAACGTAGAAACAGTAGTAAACAAAACGCAAGATACTGCAGATGCTGGATATCTGAAACAAAAACAGAAGTTGCTGGGAACACTCAGCAGGTCAGGAAGCATCTACGAAGGGTCGTGGACCCAAAACATGGACTCACTTTCCTTTCTCATAGAAACAGGAGTAGGCCATTCAGCCCTCGAGCCTGTTTCGCCTTTCTATAAGATCATGGCTGATCTGTACCTCAACTCCAATTACCCGCTCTTACCTCGCATCCCTTAATACTCTGACCTAATAAATATCTACCCACCTCAGTCTAGAGAATAGAGCTGAAACAACATGATGGAATCCCTTGACTTGGGTTCAACAACTGACCAAACCGAGAGATTAAAGTCGCTTCTCTGAACAGCTACGAAGACCATACGCGAATTGTCTTGGGAGAACTTCTCCCCAGTTATTAGAAGATAATATTCAACAGCTCATAAAATACGACACGGTTACTTTAGATACAGTGACAAAATATGATCTTGATGATGAAATCTCACAAACTATGTAACAGCCACGTAATGCCCGATTGCTCGAATTCTCAGCTCCTCAGTGCAATTGTGTATCTACAGGTGTACACTGTAAATAATAGTGTGAGTCTACCAAGATATTCTTTGTTTCAATATGAAGGTTGCATGAGGGGTGGGGAAAAGCAGAAGAATATAAATGCATGTAACATCACATCCTCCATTTTGGATGCAACGTAATTCCAGAACTAATTTGAAGGGCAGAATCCAAAAATCACAGATTCCACAACAAAGGGTCACATCAGAATCGTGCCATTCGGACTAAAGTGCTGGTGCCGGCTCCTTGGAAGAGCTACCCAATCAATCCCACTCCCCTGCTCTTTCCCTAAATCCCTGTGAAGTTTTTAATCTTTTCAACTACTTCTCCAATTTCCTTTTGAATCCGTTTCATAGCATCATACAATCTTAGAATCGCACAGCACAAAAAGAGGCCATTCGGCCCATCGAGTTTGTGTCGGCTCTTTGAATAGAGCAATGTAATGTCAACCCCACTCCCCAGCCCTTTCCCCATAACCCTGCAAAACCGTCCTCCTCAAATACCCGTCCACTGCGTTTTATAAGTTGTTATCGAATCGGCCTCGACAGCCCTTTCAGGCAATGGGTTCCAGATTCGAACAACTCGCTGCGTGAAAAAAATTCTTCTCACTTCTGCTTCTTTTAGAGACTATTTTGAATCTGTGATCTCAAGTCATCGACACACCCACCAGTGGAAACAGTTTTTCCGTGTCTAACCTATCAAATCCCCTCATGATTTTGAAGACCCTTATTAGGTCTCCTCGTAACCTTCTCTGCTCCAATGAGAATAATCCTCGCCTTTCTAGCCTTTCCTCATAATCAAGGTCCCTCATTCCTGGTACCATCCTCGTAAATCTCCTCTACACCCTTTCCAATGCCTTAACATCCTTCCTGTAGTGTGGTGCCCAGAACTAGGCGCGTATTCTAACTGAGCCTAACCAGTGTTTTATATAGATTAATCATAACCCATCACCCTTTCAAGCAGTGCTGAAATTGTCAGATGCTAGGCCCAGCATAACCTGTTACCAATCTCACTTTAGGGGTACGGGAAATGGAAACATTGCTTTGGTTCATCACTCACGATACTAAGCTGAAACCAAGGTGGACACTGAGGTTTGAAGAGGCACTCCACAGACAAACATTTCCTTCCTCACGTTCAAAAAAAGGGAAGCGGTTCCACTGGCTTACGTAATAAACATTATGTAATAATATTAATAATAATTACCATCAGAATACTGTTTTCACTACACAAGGTTTATTCTACTTGCATTAACTTTCAGGAATTAAAGGATAATAAAGGCATTTGGAACAAAATGTACCTGCAGCTCCTCTGAGACTCGCCTTAAATGACTGGTTATCTTTGTGATAAGGTCACAGTACATCTGCTCTGAGTGTTGCTGGCACACACACTTGTAAACACAGCTAAAAGTACAAAGGAAAGAAAAACACATCAAAATCTACAACACTTTCATTCGGTTTGCCTCGACAACAACTTGCATTTATATAGCGCCCTTCACACGGGGTAGAGTCCCGGAGCGCTTAATATGTTTCACAGAAATACAGTACTACAGGATGACCAAGAAGTCGTGATACCATTACAATGTTTAATAAGTCTTAAAGAAATGATGATGCGGTAGATATCACTCCCCCACACAAACACCAACGTGACACCCCCAACCTGTGCGACACCCCCCTCCCTCACCCCTACTGCGCGACACCCTCCCCTCGTGACACACAGCAGCAGTGCGTGTGGGGACAATTCCTGGATCCCCCTAGGCCTAGAGGGTTATCCTCTGGGACTCGAGTTACTGCATATTAAATGGATGATCGCAGGTTTCAAAATATATAATTATTATACTTGTTATGTATAGTAAATCCAGTGAAGCAAGTCTGTGGAGACAAACATGGTTTGCAAAAGACACATTACAGTGTTAGGGTGTTACTTTTTCCAGAACAGGGAACCGCTTCTGCCCCATGTTTTGAAACAGTACTTGTTTAAAACTTCCATGTGAACTTCCAAAAGAGGAGCTTTCCGTCATCCATCTCCTGGACTGGCCTGATTTTAATGTTCTCACCTGTAGATCTGTTCATAGGAAATAGGGATGCAGTCTCCAGGAGTCTGCGTCAGAAGCTGATCGATGGCACTGTTCAGCTTCGGCCAATATGTATTCTGGTAGTCTTCTGTCGTTATAACATTCATCACTATACAAAGAGGAAAAAAAAGCTAATATAGGAAATTAAACAGCCTGTTGTGTAAGCCATTTTACAGTTACAATAAACAGAGTCAGCACCAGGCGTGAAGCAGAGTACTGTTCATAAGTAGGGTTATTCCAGTTGGGCAAGACAAATTACACAAGGTCATTCACTATTATGCTACATGCTGATTTCCTTTGATCACTGATAAAACATTGCATATGGCTTGAGAGTCGACACATAAACCAAACAAAAAAATCACCAAAACAGATGATCATATAAACACATCGTTTGCCACAAAAACTCTTGGTATACCAGTTTTTCCCAATAATAATACTAGATGGCATTCAGATTAAATTCATAATTTAGATTATGAATTCTATCCCCCAAAAAGAATCTTTAACCCACAAACTTTAACTCCACTTCTTCATACTTATCTCAGCTGTTTATTATACAAAATGACATTTCACGCCGGGAGGACATCCCAAAGCTCTCCACAGTCAGGGATTTGGACCAGAGCAGGGGGTGGGGAAGGGGGGCTGGGATCAGGGGGCGCGTGGAGGGCAGGAAGGGTAAAGGTAGGTGAAGACACGGTCAAAGAGGAGGGTCTTGAGATGTGCCTTGAAAAAGGCAAGGGAAGGAGCGACACAGAGGGAATGTGGGATGGAGTGCCAAATGTGGGGGCGGAGCGACTGGTGGGGCGGGCCGGGCGGTTGACATGGAGCAGGCCTGAGCCTGCCGGGCGGAGGGAGTAGACAGATTGATAAGGGGTTATCACGTCACAGAGGTAGGAAGGGGCAAGGTCGTAGAGGGCTTTGGAGGCGAATTATTACACAGAAAGAAGGTAACACTTGGTGAATCTATTCAAAAGACCACACTGAAACCCCAAACACACAAACGAGGAAGTACATGATTCTCTCAGCCTGGTTTGGATATTCTTAAAGTAGGGTGATGGTGCCGGATACATCAAGCGCTCGGCTCACCAAAAAAAAAACATTCTGAAATGTTTTTGCTGAGAGAAATTGCATTAAAAAACACAAGCTTTTCCATGCCTCGGAAAAACAATGGGAAATGCTTGCATGACTCCAGATGTAGAAAGCTAGCATCTTACAATTTATACACAAGGGTTCATAATTAACAATATATGGACCTTTGCTGGCGTACTCATTTAACCTCAATTAAAGCTCTATCTGAGTCATTTTCTTTCATACATAAAGAACATTTCACAAGTGTAATTTTAACTGCATGGGTAACTAGCTCAGAAGAGTAATTGAGCTTGTGAGTGTAACCAGGATCAAGCACACAGTGATAAATTCAAGAAATTTCAAATCAGAAAGAAACCATTCAGCCCATTGCGTCTGTGCCATGCTCGTTCCCAATGGAGCCATCTACTCTAATCCCATTTCCTTGAATCCTTTCACAGTAATCCTTGCCTTTGATATAGCGTCTTATCACGTCGTCGAGACGTCTCAAAGTGCTTCACAGAATATATTGTAAAGTGTAGTGACTTGTGTATTTTGCAGGCGAACCAACAGCCAATTGCGCACAGCAGTGTTCCACACACATTGATGGATTGAGTGACCACATTTTTGTTTTGTTGGAGGGATTATTCTGCCAATCGACTAAAACTGAGTTTCTCCTTACTGTTCGGTACTCTTATTGCTCAAGTGTTTATCTAATTCCCTTTAATTAGCATCAATAGCCCCACCATTGGCAGAAGAGCCTTCAGCCACTCTGCCCCCAATCTCTGGAATTCTATCCCCCAATCATTCTGCCTCACCCCCTCCATAGCCTCCTTCAAGTCCCGCCTCAAGACCCTCCTCTTCGAAGATGCCATCGGCCACCCCACTTCCCCTCCCCTCCCTTCTCCCCCCCAATCCCAGCTTGGGTCTGAAATGCTGTACACTGTCCAGTGCCTTGGGACTCCCTCCCGACGTGAAAGGCACTCTATAAATGTAATCTTGTTGTTGTTGATACATTGTGGTTCACGTTCTAACAACTGTTCTGTAAACTCACCATTTGCTTAGCAAAGTATTAGCCTTGAATTTCTGCCACGTGTCATCTGTTCACAAACAGCGGAAATAATATTTTCCTATTCACCCACACAAACCCTTTCAGAATCTTAAACACTTTATCATATCCCCAAGTTCTCGAAGACCAGCCCTATCTCTTTTTTCAAGGCTTTCACCCCGAATTATATCCTCTCAAAACATGCATTGTCCTATTAAATCTACACTGCATTCTCGCCATGCCTCCGATATACATTCTACAACGGGCCACATAAAAAGTGAACAGTGCTCCAGCTATAGTCTCCACATAAAACCCATTGTTCACTTTGCCATTTTAATGCCAGTTGTTAATTCAGCAACTTTAAACCAGTGTCCCTGCATATTTTTGAAACCATGTCAGAAGAGGGTGTTCAAACCTGTAATTAAAATTCTTCCTGTATTTTAAAGCCTTGCTTGGGGCAGAGCTTTCTCCTTAAAAGGCATAAGGGCTTCAGTCTCAAATCTTAAAGTAATCTGAAACACATTATTCAGATACAGTCTTGTAACTCACTCCCCAACAACCCATATTTAACATGGGATCAAGAGACAGATAGCCTTTGAAGGATCCAGAGAAATACTTTTGCCCTCAAATTATTGTGCAACTTGAAATGACCCAAGTTTAAAGTTAGCATTGCATCATACAATTTATATACAAGGGCTATATCTTATAGCTCCGACAAACATTTATTAGTGAGAATAATAACTCATTTTAAAAAACATTCAGAGGATTCCTCTGCGCACAAGAATCTATACAAATCTGCATAGTCACTGACACGGCCCTTCTCTCCGCTGCAACTGTACATGGCGTACTAATGATACAATATTTCTTCCCACCTCACTCAACATCCCAAAGCCGTTTCTGTAATAATGTGGGACATCTGAATTGTTTTAATCCAAATTGTTCTGTGCTAAAAAGCTTAAATTGATCCATTACATTCAGAAGTAAAAGCTACAGTACCTGAAACATTATTAACCTACCGGAGAAGGGAATCTGGGGAAATGGGAATTAAATCAAGAGGGATTTAACTCAGAGAAGCCTAGGACACTGGGGAAAGGCAGCAAATCAACAGATCAGAAACAGAAAGATAGAGAGAGAGAGAGAGAGAGAGAGAGAGAGGGGGGAGAGAGAGAGTGCAAAAGAGTGCATTTAGTTTTCTTGTTGCAGTTGTTTTCTTAAAAATATTTCCACCTGGCAGATTTTTAGCATATAATGAGAATGGGATTCATTTAGCCTAACATTTTTTTCTTCTGTAGAATTTTTTTTAAAAACATGGTTACTCAATCCATGACGTTTGTGGGATACTACTGTGCGCAATTTGCTGCTATGTTTCACTCATAAAATACAGTCAATTCACTTTACAGTATATTCCATGAAGCGCTTTGAGAAATCTCAACGTCATGATAAGGCGCTATACCAAATGCAAGTATTCTTATTATTATGTAACTGAATGCATTGGTGATGGACTCTCTCTCTCTCCCTGACAGATATTATCCGAATGGCAATATCCACGAAGCTGGGGCTACAGTCTTGGTTTATGCCTTTTGAATGCCAATTAACCCTCAAGCTTTGGCTTTCAGGATTTAAAGGAGTAAAACGAATCTCTGTCCTGAGCCATCGTTCCAAACGTAGGCTTGAGCCCTCACAAGGTGGATAGTGGGTACCAGAACTCCTTGCGTAGGAGCTTCCTGGTGAGCAGAACAACATTAAATATAACAAATATTTGATAAATATATAAGAAAGTGTTGGGAAGGGATAGAAGAGTGCAACTACATAGCTCTTCCAGAGAACAGGCCCAGCCATGATTGGCGAAATCAATTTTCTGTTGTCCTAATTCTACAATTCTTAGGGCAGTTCGGGGCGGAGGTAGAGAAAAAGAACTAGATTGTGATTTCTGATATCTAAACAAGACAAATATTAGGCAATAGTAAAGATTGGCATTAGAAATGTACAGCGGTTATTCTGTTTCTACTCATTCTTGTTTACACCTCAGATCCTTTACCTTTCCCACATTTCAGAAAGTCCAGGTGGGGGTGGGAGGGGAACACATTCATTCATCTGTTTCTCAGCTGCATATTACAGTCTGTTTGGCAGTGAACCACATTTTCTGCCTCTAACAATAGTACTGCAATCTTCATATTGCTAATTTTAGCCTACAGATTTTAGGTCTTACCCAGATACCCCTTCAGCCAACTCTCATCTTGACACTGCTACTCAGTAATTCTCCACAGTGATAAAAGTAAAGAGTTTATACAAGCTCTAACAGGTACACAAGATGCTACATATCATAGAAAACATAAACCCAGAACAATGTCAGAAATGTCAACCCAGCATCTCAGAGGTTCAGGATTGTTATGGGCAATTTCAGGACAAACCCCTGGAAGTATTTATTTACAGCAGACAGATGGAACAAGTTACCAAGAAGGGTGATAGGGGGCAGGATACTGGAATCACCGAAGAAACAGGTGGAAGATGTAGTGGGAAAATGTTGCAGTCGGTATGCTGGAAGGATGAGATCAAACAGACTCAAAGGTTTCTTCATCCAAGCCTTGCTTGTCTTGACTCTTGTGAACACAGTTACTCTCCCAGCACACTGCATCTGTACTGGAGGCCAGCTACCAAATAACCCTCGCAGGACCCTCATCTCAAATGGCACATAATGGAAACTTTCACTACAGAGTTTCATAGTTTCTCCCTGCTTCCCCCCCTGCCCTCCACCCTCCCCCACTCCGACCCCCAGCTCGGGTCCGTAACTCTGTCTGTCCAGTGCCTTGGGATGTCCTCCCAACGTGAAAGGCGCTATAAAAATGTAATTTTGTTGTTGCTGTTGTTGTTCAGAGACTTAGGAAAACAAATGTAACCTTCCTGACTCAGTTACATTTCAAGCCTTCACTAAATGAAAAGATCAATCACTTTTTAGAAACATTACACACAGCTTCCAGTTTGCGAAAAATGTAAAAACCTACACAGGAACTTCAACTAAAAAGATAAAATTAAAAAAAGCATATATTTCCTTCCAGTAGAACAACAACAAGATTACATTTATATAGCGCCTTTCACGTCGGGAGGACGTCCCAAGGCGCTGAGCTTGAAAAACCTTATATTCTTCAAATTAGCAAAAACCTGCCTCTCCCTGTAAACCAGCTATCAATGTTTCTTTGCACAGAAGTGCAAGATAAACACAGCTACCACTGAAATCATTGTGCACTGCAGCATGTTCACTTTAAAAGTTTTCCAGTGGAGATTGCATTCAGTGATGAGATGTGGGTATCCTAACCTCTGGATATCCATACAGAGATGAGGAGGATTAGAAGAAGCACAAGCATAATAATCACATGGTACTGACCCGTTCTCAACTGCAAAAGATATTTTGGCAAGATAAGCATGGGTAGATAAAGAATCTGAGGCAGGTATTATTAGCATCTAGATTTATGTGGGAAAGGAGTCACAACAGAGCAGCTACCAGGCACTGCATCTTTAAACCTATTGAAATTAGTCAATCTAACCCTATCAATGCACTCCCATTTCACTACCATATGAGCCCACACCCCTCTGACTCAAAGGCAAGAGTGCTACGACTGACCCAATTATCATGAATGATTATTATCCCAGATTTGCCATTATTTGTCTCTCAAGCAAAATACCTGGGTTTGATTCCCAGCAGGGTGAAACCTTGGGCAAGTTTCCTTACTCCACACCCTAATAATAATCCCTCAAGAAAAAAATCAGTAATAAATTGGTCACTTCAATCTACAACTGTTTGTGGGATATTGTAGGCGCAATTTGGCTGCCACATTTCGCCCACAAATACACAGTCAAGTCACTTTACAGTATTTTCTGTGAAGCACTCTGAGACGTCTAGAAGACGTGTAAAGCATTATATCAATTGCAATGAATATTCTTATTATTATTGTCAGTGGAATGAGTACCTCTGGTCCACATCGGGGGAATGGATAACACATATAACAGTAGCACAGATACCATGGGCCCAGGGGTGGAGGGCGAAGGGGTGGAAGTGGGAGAATGACCGAAGGCACAGTTAAATAGAAAGGTCTTGAGATGGGCCTTGAAGGAAGCAAGGGAGGGGGTGAGGGAAAGGGGCTCTGGGATGGAGTTTTAGTGGGTGGAGGCCGAAAGGCAGAAGGCCAGATTGCTGATGATGGAGCAGACCAGTGCCCGCCAAGCGGAGGGAACGGATAATCCACCTCTTCGATGATTGAGGAGTTTCTTCACAGAATATACTAATAATAATACTAATAATAATTCTTGCATTTGATGAAAGGCCTGATCACATCTTCAAGATGTGTCAAAGCACTTCACAGAATATATTGTAAACTGCAGTGACTGTGTATTTTGTGGGTGAAACTCGACAGACGATTGCTCATAGGGCCTTACATTCCAGGGCCTTGGGATGTTCTCCTGACGTGAAAGGCGCTCTATCAATGTAACTGTGTTGTTGTCGGTAGCAGTCTCCCACAAACAGTCGTGGATTGAGTGACCCCCCTTTTTTTTCCGGAAAGGATTATTACCCCCGGAAACGTGATCCTCCAAACGACTAACAACCGGGTTCCTACTTACTGCTGGGTAAACAGAGGCGGGTGGGTGCGTGCGGTTAGGAAACTGCCTTAAGGTTTCGCCCCGATATACCGTGAAGTGTCGTTCGGCCGCAACATATACAGCCCGTTCGCCTCGCAGTGTATCCTTGCCACGCGCTTTGAGACGTCTCGAAGACGTGATAAGACGCTCTATCAAATGCGAGGATTGTTACCGTAGGGGGTGATATTAGGTTTTGTGGGTGAAGATAGACGGAATGGGTAGGAGTGAGGGGGGAGGGGGTGGGGGTGGAGGGGTGGGGGTGGAGGGGTGAGGGGGGGAGGTAGAGAACTTACAGAACTTGGAAGCCGAGCTGTTAATGTTCAGGGTCACTTTGTTGGCGAGGATGGGCTCGGGCTCTCGATGCGCCGCCCCGTCTCCGTTGACGGCCAAGTGCTGGAGGAACTCCTTCGGGTCGTGGAGCAGCGGCGGTGGGGGCGGCGGGGGGGGCGGGGGCGGCGGCTGCGGCCGCTGGACTGTTCCTCCTCTTCCTCCGCCGTCCTCACCCCCGGGGGCCTCGGGTAGGCCCGGCTCCTCGGCGCCGAGCGGGTGCGGGCGCGGGCGCGGGCGGTGAGGGAAGGCTGCCGCGTTGGCCTCCCCCCAGTTGTTGTGGTTGTGATCGTCCGCCATCAGCTGCTGGTAGCTGACGGCCTCCGAGTCCTCCTCCATGTTCTCCTCCATGGGTGGGTGGCGCTCGCGTCGCGGCGGGAGGGAGGGAGAGAGGGAAGGAGGCCCGCGGGCCGCACGCTCACTCACACACACACACACACACACGCGCGCGCGCGCACCAACCGCCGCTTATCGATCAATACTTCTTTTTTTTAAAAAAATCTCTAAATTTGATTTTGCGGACAGATTATTACAGGGGGTGGGGGGTGGGGGGGGTCACCGCCTCCGCCGACCCCCACCGCCGCCGCCCGGCGGCTTTAGGTCCTATCCCGGTGGATGACAGCCATTACCTTCCTCTTCACACCACCATCGCCTCAGTCGCGCCCGCTTTCAGTTTCGCTTTACGGCGGCGGCCGTCGAGCGACGGCAGCCCCTCCTCCCGCCGCTTCCCTGCCACTCGCCCTGCCCCCGCCGCTCTTTGCGACACTTTGCGTCAGTTCCCGCTCCCGCGCGCCGACGCCCCCCCCTCTCCTTCCCCGCGCGCTCCCGCGTGCCCTCGGCAACGGTAACCAAGGGAGACGGCGGCCCATTGTGCGGGGGGAGGGGGCGGGGCGAGGGGTGGGCGGGGCTGGGGCGAGGGGTGGGCGGGGCTGGGGCGAGAGGGGCGGGGCTTGGACCCCAGGCTCTACGTCACTCCCTCTCTCTCTCTCTCTCCAACTCAATGTCTAATGAATAAGATATATATAGAGATATATCAGTCATTATAATAATATAATAATAATCCTCGCATTTGATACCAGCGCCTCGTCCCGTCTTCGGGACGTCTCAAAGCGCTTCGCACAACATACTGTAAAGTGTAGTGACTGTGTATTTTGTGGGCGAAACTCGGCAGCTGCGTCCCCATTGCATTGACTTAACTTAATTATTATTATTATTATTATTTTTAAGGTATTATTAACCCTGGAAATGGGTGGTGCGGAGGGTGGTGGTGGGGGGGGGAAAGGGGAGAGAGAGTGTATATTATATATTAAATATATTTTATTTAGGAATATTTAATCATTTGAACATATTATATTATTTAGTACAATATAATGTACCTTAAATAATAATATTATTAAATAATAATAATCCTAATAATAATTCTTGCATTTGATACAGCCCCTTATCACGCCTTTCAGACGTCTCAAAGCGCTTCAGAGGATATATTGTGAAGTGCAGTGACTGTATGTTTTGTGGTCAAAATGTGGCAATGAATTGCGCACAGCAGTGTCCCACAAGCAGTCGTGGATTGAGTGACCAAATTAAGGTTTTGCCCTGTGTATGTGCATAGAAAACATACAGTTATGATCGTCTCACCTCTAAAGATTGCTGGTGGAGTCCTCTAGTGTAGTAGTTAGAGCACTCGCCTCGCAAGAGAGAGGACCCGGGTTTGATTCCCGGGTCAGGGCAAAACTTTAGGCAAGATGCCTTACTCCAGAAGCCTCTGTTTACCCAGCAGTAAGAAGGAACCAGGTTGTTAGACAATTGGCGGATCGTTTTCCAGGGTAATAATCCCTTCAAAAAATAATAATAATTTGTTCACTCAATCCACGACTGTTTGTGGGACACTGCTGAGCACAATTGTGTTTAGCCCACAAAATATACAGTCAATTCACTTTATAATATATTCTGTGAAGGGCTTTGAGAAGTCTCGACAACCTGATAAGGCGCTATATCAAATACAAGAATTATTATTATGAAAGCTGGTCATATTTTAAATCAATGAAAACTTGAACTGCTTAGATATTGTGCTCCTGTGACTATGGCCTTTTATGCAGCAATATTAAAGGAGAAAAACTATTATAACAATGCAATGATCAATTTTTGGTGTGTTTTTTTGAAAAAGCACTTTCATCACTGCTTATGAAGCCATGTCCCCCTCAACCAGCAGAGGGAACTGGTATTACATTTTATCATTCACCATGATACATGTGTGATAGTGAAATAATTGTGTATACTATGGTGTTGGCCTTAATCTTGACTATAATGTGCAGCGTTTTATCTAATTAACAAATAATGCCATCAAAATGTAGCTTGTTTCTTGATCAGTGAAGGAGATTAAAATAAAATAACAATTTGCATCACAAAGGGTAGCGCTGAACAACAGCTAGGTTTTTTGTTGTATTTGTAAGCGACACCGCAAACAATCTGGGCACAGCAATGTCCCATGAGCAGTCATGAAATGAATGACCAATTTATTGGGGAAGGGGGTGGGATTGCTACCAGGACACCAGGAGAACAACGCCATGGGATTTTTAACATCCACCAGAATAGACAGACAGGTCCTCAGCATAATGTCTCTTCAGAAAGAAAGAATATCCAACTATGCAGCGCTCCACTAGCAATGCATTGGAGTATCAGCCTGGACTATGAGCTCAAAGTCCTGACGTGGGGGCTTGAACACACATCAAAGGCAAGGCTGCTACCAACTGAGGCAGGCTGACAATTGATGGGAGGGGGGAGTGGGGACAAGACAAAGGTGACTGTATAACGGTGGGTAACTCTATGTTTTCTTTCTGATATTCTCTTGTCAGCTGGATGCCAGCAGTGTCCCACAAACAGTCGTGGATTGAGTGGCCAAATTATTATTATTTTTTTGAAGGGATTATTAGCCCCGGAAAAAGCGATCCACCAATCAACGAACAACTGGGTTCTTCCTTACTGCTAGGTAAACAGAGGCGTGTGGAGTAAGGAACCTTGCCTAAGGTGTCGCCCTGCCTGATAATTGACCCCAGGTTCTCTCGCTTGCAAAGCGAGTGCTCTAACCAATACAGTACAGGACTCCACTGGGACAAGATGCTGTAAACAGTGTCCTTTCGTTCTCTGTCGTGCTTCCTTGACAAAAAGCAGAACAACAAACGAACGACACTGTGAATTTTGCTGATTTTTTGGGGGGCCAAAATCTGCCCTCACCTGATGCAAAACCTATTTAAAAAAATATAAAAGCTCTTCATGTGTCGGCACGGCAATTAGAATCTCTCACAGAGACCGTTCCGAAATTGGCATCAGTTCCCCCTTTGAGCACAGTAAATATTTCGCAATCCGCCAAGCACAATCAGTTAATGACCCCACGATCTGGCCTCCAAAGTGTCTCCAAACCCTCTCACACATAAACAGCTTCTTGGCTATTCCACGTCAACAGTGTTAGAACACTAACTAGGCAGGGATTAGATCACGGTGGCATCTAAAGCAAACCTCCAGCCAAATAGCCCTCCTCACCCCCAAAAATTAAAAAATAATAATAATCCTTGCAATTGATATAGCTCTTTATCGCTTCACAGAATATACTCTAAAGTGGATTGACTGTGTTGGTATTTTGTGGATGAAACGCAGCAGCCAATTGCGCACAGCAGCGTCCCACAAACAGTAGTGGATTGAGTGACCAAATTATTTTTATTTATTTTAAAGGAATTATTACCCCCGGAAAAGCGAAGTGGAGGCAGCGAGTGGTGGGTAAGCAGGTGAGAGGGAAAGGAAGGTGCGAAGGCATGAAGGGATTTGAAAACGAGTGAGAAGATCACAAACAGAGCTAAAGAGGCCTTGCTTATACAACAGTTCAGCTAGATTTTCTTAATCAAATCATTCTCCTCTGCTTGAAACTTTGGGACTTATTCGCCTCCATTAAATCAGTGTGGTGAATTCACTGATATAGCCTTGGCTCCCATTGCCGTTATCGAATTGTCACTGCTGCTTATGAATAACTGTAATGCAATTTTATAGGCAGAATTTAATTTGCATTTATAAGCTAAACGTTATTTATCATTGAAATATGCCTGGGAGCTATTTATAATGATAAATTCTCAATGATAAATTCTCTCAGGACAGTAAATGGAGCTGAATTCCCTTTAACCCGTATAATAATAATCCTTGCATTTGATATAGTACCTTATCATGGCTTCAAAACGTCTCACGGCGCTTCAAAGGATTGTCTGTAAGCTACAGTGACTGTGCATTTGGTAGGCGAATGCAGCAGCCAATTCACCAACCCAAAATGTTCTCTTGAAAATTCCTTGAAGCGCTTTGAGGCATCCTCCTGACATGAAAGGCGCTCCATCAAATGCAAGGAAGATGATCATGAACCTATGCCCTACAATAAATTGCTGCAGGGAGCAGAGAGAGCAAGATGAAAGAAATTACAAGCAACTATTGTTGGAAATGGTCAAGTTGACCGATTTAAATGGAAGTTGCTTTGAGAGACGGAGAAAGATGGTTGTGACTGTGCTGGAGTCTGATCTCTGAGAATGTGAGCAGCTCTTGATATGATTTTGATAGAGGAGATCTATTTGCAGTCGAAACAGCTATTGAGACATTGATAGACAACGTCTCGGTGACCTTATAATTCTTTAAGTCATCTCGCACATTACGTGAAATGGATTATGTGTCTCTTTTCACCGTGTTTCAAATAAACTTTAAACGATAAACTATGAGCTGACTGCACTGTATACCATTCCTCGATCTGCCATGTAAAAAGCATCACAGGATAAACTGGGTTAAAGAGCCTATTGTTACAGCAAACGCATTAACAGGCAGCTTGATTTGTTACCACTTAATGGCTGTTATGGAAACCAGATTTGGTTCGTATAATATCTGGCTGGAAATACTGCACACCATTTTACAGCGAAGGAGCCAGTTCCTAAAGATATATTGCGTGTCGTTTGGGGGCAACATAAAAGTGTGGTCTTTCTTCAAACAAAATGTAGCAGGAAGGTTTCCAAGACGAAATGATATAGGTTGGAAAAAAAAAGCCAATTTAGAAATCTGAAATGAAAACAACGGTAAGAATGCCAAATTGCAGAGCAGAACATGCATGAAGCTTACCTGAAATCTTTTACTTTCCTTTCTCTCTGTGTGCTTCTCACCATTTTGGTCACTCAATCCCCGAACGTTTGTGGGACGCTGCTGTGCGCAATTGGCTACCGCATCTACGCCCAGAAAATATATAGTCACTACACTTTACACTTTACAGTATATATTTATATATATATATATATTCTCCGAATCGCTTTGAGACGCGTCGAAGACCTGATAAGGCACTATATCAAATGCAAGGATTATTATTATTTTCTGACTTTATTTCA